ACTTAACCGGATCGGCCGAAAAATCATTCGGCTAATTTTTGCCAGGTGTCCCAGAATTTATGATAACAGCTGTAAAATCAATTAAAATTATCATAAATTAATGAAACGAAATTAATAACGAAATAATTGCAATTAATGCCATTTGCCATATGGTTGCGGTGAATCATTATACGTGACAAATAAGGATTTACTAATCAATCATAATAGTGAACTTTTATTTGTCACGCAAATAATTCATCACACAAAAAATTGCAATTAATTGACTCATTGTGACTGCGCCACAAACAATGAATTGAGTTCAAAAAATTGAAATTATTCGGTAGGCCTGCCATAAAATACAGCAATTATTGCATACATAGCTATATATTATCCGGAAAACTCATATGATCATAAAAAAATTTCTTATTATTTTTTTCACGTGTTATGGTATAACCATTTTATTCAAATTAAAACTCAGCCGATGACTCATGATCATAAATTGCAGAATGTTGTATACTTATAATTTCACAATTTTTATCTAGGCATAAAGAATCCTCTCTACGAATGTACGTAGCATACTTCGGACAATTATGTATTTTATTATTTGATATTCCTACGACCAGTGTTCTGAAATTTAAATGCCTTGCGACTCTTTCAAAATACTATCGAAACGATTAGAACATTGATAATAATCTGCTTTATTGCTTTAATTGCATATTATAAGATGAGTTTTAAGCTCAATACAGTGGAAATTTAAAATATGTATCTACAGGTTTCCCTTGGTATTCATAAGAAATCAGTGTTCTGGTAATTTCGGTGACACAACAATATATAGATAATCTTATGTATACTGACTGATACGTACGTAATCTGGACAGATAGTATAGCTAGTAAGGGAATGCTATTCTTTATCAACAGCATTATCAAAATTCATACATTACTAGATCTAGATTATCGTGATCGTTGACTTTACTTCTTAAAAATATTAGTGGGTACGTAGCGAAATATGATATTAGAAAATCGAACTTCTACATAATTGATGATCATTGATTATCATAGTAATTTGAAAAGAATAAGCCTACAGCTAAAGATGGCCACTCATTCCCACTAATTTTTAAGTAAAGGTTGTGCTACATGCAAAACACAATCTGATGAGTGGATAATTGAGTTTAAAAAATTTACACGCTATATCGCATTCAGAATCATTCGTAATTGTAATAAGGATCATTTGTCATGAGTAAATACATACAGTACGTATTAGGATACAATTATTATTTCATTATTACCTTACCCGTATCTATCTGCAGCTTACGGAATTTAGTACTCCGTGCAGTTTGCTTGAACTCGGATCCATATTACCGGCTATTCACTTATTGTGAGACGAGGCTTAAATCTATCTTATAACGCCCAAAATTTAACTTTAGAAACTGCTTGTCAAGCATAATAAAGTACGTACGTATGTTAATGCAGTGCAACCAGAAAAAAAGTCTTCAAAAATTGATATTCTTGTAATACGAAGTTGTTAAGTAATGATGATATCGATATGTCGATTTAGAGATTTGTATGAATATTTTTAAAAAACATAGTTAAGTCAAAATATAATAATGTCTTGACGTTCAATCAATTGAAACTACATATTTATTTATTTATTTATTTACTAATTTATTTTATTTATACATATATATATCGATATATATTAATTTTGATCATTATACGTACAGGTATAACCTTTCATACCTAATATATATTTATACAAGTTCATTTTAGCAAAGATTTAAAGCGTATATTATTTCTTGCCACTATCAAAGTATTGTTTTGAGAACAGTTGATTATTTTGCACAATGTTGAATTTATTTGTTTTGCATCTTTTTACTTTTTTTTTGCTATTTTTTAGTGTCAGTAAAGCTAGCAATGCCTCTGATAGAAAAAAAGTTAATTGGTTTTTTATACTATCTCTTCTTATTATGCCAGTTTATATACTTTTTACATCAGTTGGATGGATAGGCGTTATATTAGTATTTGTTCTTAGCAAGCGAAAAGATGTTAAAGTAAAATCAGTAAATGTAGAAGAGAAGAATAGGTGTGATGATATACATTCTAAAACATCTTTAACTAATAATGTTTCACTAAGTGCGGATTCACTGGCAAAACAAACAACTTTGAACATTACGAACATCAAACATAATGACGCACCTAATCAAGAAGAAGTTGTTTCTAATTTTTTTAACACATTGAGAACTATGAAAAAAAGCACCAACATTTCCACGCCAGAGAACAAGGTCAACAATATTTTTACGTCAGAGAAAAAGGATACCAATATTTTTACTTCAGAGAAAAAGGATACCAATATTTTTCTTTCAGAGAAAAAGGATACCAATATTTTTACGTCAGAGAAAAAGGACACCAATATTTTTACTTCAGAGAAAAAGGATACAAATATTTTTACTTCAGAGAAAAAGGGCACCAATATTTTTACTTCAGAGAAAAAGGGCACCAATATTTTTACTTCAGAGGAAAAGGACACCAACATTTTTACATCAGAGAAAAAGGATACCAATATTTTTACATCAGAGAAAAAGGATACTAAGATTTTTGCGTCAGAGAAAAAAGACATTATAGAGAAAAAAGACGGTTATATTCATATGACAGAGAAGCATGGTAACATCTTTGATAAAGGTTGTAAATGTAATCGTACATATATTAAGTCCATTCCAACTGAATTAACAGAGGAAGAGAGACTTCTTGAAAATATTGAATATATTGAAAATACATTTGTTTATGATATTATTTCAGATGGTTATTTTGATTAGTTAGCAATTTATAATTTATGCCTATTTTTTTGTAATTATAAGTTGGTAATTTTGTTACAATAATAAATTATTTAGCATTTTCATAACATTGTATATTTTAATCATTAAATTTCTTCACCGATAATGTTAAGGATGACTTACAATACTCCTTTAATGAGATACATTTATTTCAAAAAAAGGTTATTTCTAAAAAAAAATTTTTCAAACGAAACAGTGCAAAAATGACAATAGCGTTAAAAAAACATATTTACAACGATCCTGATAATATCAATTAATCTGTCAAAATACATAGTTTAACAAGTTACCTCAATCAAAATCAGGAGACAAGGTAAAATTGGAATCAACATTTTCAAGTCACGTTTAATAATCATAACTCCGGTAAACTTGTTTTTTCTTTCCATTCATTCTTAATATGAATATTTAGAGAGCCAATCAGCTGAAAAATGATCGATTTAGTAATTGCTGAGCCCTCTCAAATTACTCTGGTCTTGGATTGAGCCTATTAAGGAAAAATCTAAGATTAACTGAGTTATCCAAATAATTGATAATATAAATATCTACTTAGGTATAATCTTTAGATCAAAAATAACGCCAAAAGAATTTTAGAACATTCGCTTCTAATTATTTAAGGGAGAATATTATACGTTAAAAGTAATTACCATTTAAAGTTAGTTACTTTTTTTTTAAAACAAGGGTATCATTGTAAAAGAAATTTAGGAACCTATGCTAATGATCATCGACTTTTCCCTTAAAAATTATGTGATAGTCCTTAAGATTTCCTTGAGAACTTACAAAATCTACAACATGAAAAACTTACTATTATTAGGTAATCGTTATCGACCAGGAAGGGTCACAGTCTGAACTTTATTTTCATGAGATCCCTTATTGTTATCAGATTAATTTGACGAGAAATAATCATTTGATTAGTCAGCTGTTCAAAAATTTTAAAAGAATAAAATACGGAACAAATTTCATACTATGTGCTAGTGGAAATAAGGAAGTTATCTGCAGTAATAGGTTAGTTCACTAGAAATATTATTACTAAAGTAGGAGGTGACCGGACTTGTATAATTCTTTAAAATACTTATTACTCTAAACTGATCTAGTAATTTTATTTACAATAAATATTAAATGAATGCACTATTCTCACGTAAAAAAAGCATCCCATAGTAACCAGTGATGACTGACCTAACTTTGTTATCAATTTTATCAATGTGAACGAAGGTTTGCATGAAAATATTCTAGTTAAACCTTAAAGCAAGAATCGATTTTAACCAAAAAAATATTTAGTTGATTTATAATGAACTATTAGACGAGCTCGGATTTGACTAATTTAAGTGCTTTGGCAAAATTCTTGATATCTTTACAAAACTAACCTTTTAAATTCTGAATATCATTTCTCATATTGGTTCAAAAGAGAACAATAGTGCCTATCTTTAAAGGCATGTCCCACATAGGTGTGGGTCCGGTCGGTCACGGTCGGTTATCGGTCGGTTATTGGCGGTCATTGACTCATAACCGACCGACCGCAGTTA